GCTCCACGGACTAAGCCAGCCAGGTGCCCCTGAAATAATTTTTAAAATACTACCTCATTTGATGGATATTTTCCTAAATGACTATCTTGGCAAAAACAAACAAACAAAACCTCCAAAGCCCCAAAACTATTACATGTATTGCTTTCTAGATCCTTCTACAAAGAAATAGATGGTCTCCATCAAATATTGAAATTATTATTCAGTAAGAAAGAAAAATCCATTTGTATATAACATTTCAAAAAAGAAGTCAAAACACATTAAATAATACTTTTTATTTAGATGTTCATAAGGCATATCTATGAGAATGATATAAAAACATGGCATGTAATTTGATAGCAATATTTTGGAGATTACAGAGTTTTAGCAAATACCCATTACACAGTCATAAAGAAGATGGTATTTTTCCAAGCAGGTACAAAATATCTAAGGAAAGATCAAGGCAAGAAAATGAGTATAATTAACAGTGGAAAATCAATTCTAATGTGAATTGCACATTATCCTTTAAAAACTTTTAAAGGTAAGATTTACTGCAATCTAGTTCATTCAAACAGTGTTAAACAGTATCACAACAAAGAACTGAAGGCCAGAATGGATTTGTTTTGACTTCATATAAAGAAACCCAAATATACAGCAGGTCAAATATAGGAAAAGGGAGTCAAATAGTGAAGGGGTCAAGATCTTTCTAGTTTCTAACTGACATTCCTTAGGGTGTGGCCTTGGTCGTCTGGGACATTTGCCAGGCCTCCTGTTGTATCCACAATTCCGGCAGCAAGATGGAGGAATGAGATAAAGAACACATGCTGCTTTTCTTTGAAGAGACTTCTAAGAAGTTACCCATACGTCCCCCTACATCTCACTGGCCCTCAGTCCCACTGGGACACCTAACTGCAAGGGCAGTTGAGTAATGTGATGGGCAGCAGCTTTTAAAGAAGTAGAGTAACCAGACATTGGGAGACAACTTCCAGTTCCTGTGCAGGCTGGATACCTGCAAAGCTATGAAGGACCTTCAAGGAAAATCTTAAGAGGATACTTCCTTGAAGCTGGCAATTTGAAAATCATACAAAAGCACCTGTTTTGGTGATTTAATTTAGCCTATCCAGCCACTGGAGAATCCTGCATGTATAGCCTGCCCTAATTTTGGATGACTGCATGATGGAAGGCCAAGGGGATTTGGAAAATTAAAAAAATCTGAGAATATATGTGTGTTAGGCTGAACTAAATATTGTTTTGGACAGAATCTCTGAATATTAGCACTTTGTAATTTTCTTGCATTAAAAAAATTGAAGAACCCATTCATTCCTGTAAAATTCACTGTTCAAAGGTAAGAACAGACTGTGTTTCCACTAAAATCAGTACAGGTTCATTTAGAGCAATTACATATACTGAATATTTACCACCATTTGTTTTACTGACTTATGAACAATTGAGGGTAGAGCATCTATCTCCTTTTCATGACAACACATCACAAGTAGAAATCTTAACACGACTGAGGCATGTTATACTATGTGTAGCAATTCAGGAATTCACAAAATAATTTCAACACCAAATTTTAGGCTGTTTGAATACTTATTTCAAACAGAGATTCTATAGACTGACGCAGGTTCAATGTTTAAAGTATTCCTAAAGAAATAGTTATGAGTTACATTTATGGGTACTTTATTTAAAATATCACATAAGAAACCTGACATTTCACAAATAAACCTCTATTTGGGGGCAAAACTCTTCATACAGAATTTATTATGAAACAGTTTAATGGCAAGAGGCAATTAAAAACAATTAAAATTTTATATTACGTAAGAGAAACAATACAAAAATCGGATATGATATATTCTTGAAGCCCTTTTACACAAATAATTTTCATAATTTGTGAGTATGAATATACCTTAAATTAATTTTGAAAGTAAAATTCCTTAATCAAGTCAAGATTAGGCTAATTTATAAGAAATTAATCAGGTAGTTTAATACTGGAGCTCACTAGCCAATCCTGTATGTAGCACAAAATAATTATCTCCGATAAATACCTATAAATATAATTTCTTCATACTTTAAAATATTTTAAAATTTAAATAAAAATCTCTACATGTAGACAATCTGGGCTAAATTTCCATATATGCTTTGAAAAATATATGTTAGCATGAATATAATCTTATTTAAACATGGTTTTAAATATTCTTAATAAAGGAGACATATGAAATCTGCACACAAACGCTAAATAGCATGATTCAGCCCATGATTATTTTCCTCTTAGGAAAAAATTACTTAGTTTTTTTGCATAGGATTAAGACTGGGTATATTTTCTACATTCTTATAATTTTCTCAGGGGCACTTCTCAAAATACACATCAGGAAACAAACCACTACTTGAAAGTTCCCACCACTTTCTCACACCTAGCAAGAGCAGAATTCAGTCCTACTTCTGAGGCCAGAGTAATGACTTAAAAAAAAGTGATTACGAGAAATAATGACTAAGAAAAATAATCTGGTAGAAAATGGTAAAATAAAGCAATTAAAAGTCAAATAAAGTCAATATTTCTGTATTTTTAGAAAGGCTTTTAAACATTTAGAATTATAATGAATATATTACATTTATTCTAAAACTTCAAAATTATTTCATCTTTGTAGTACTAAAAAGGAGATATTATCATTTGAAACAAAAGCTACATCCTATATACATTTTCATAAATTTTGTTTTTATTTTCACATTTTCAAAGGCCCCATTTATCTGTAGTAGTGATAATGTTATTTATATTATTGGCTACTTAATATACACATGCAACAATATAATTCAATAGTCATCTAACTTTTAAGAATATTTCATTGTATTTTCACGTTTAACTGGTGAAAGCATGATCTTGAGAGTGAAACTTGAGGAGCAAATATTGAAAATATGCTGTTAACTTCAGTAATGCCCTACAACAGTTTATGGGTATTTCCCTTTAAAAGTTATCACCCAACTGAATTCCTACTAAAAACTAGCAAGTAAGTGATTATCAAGAGGGAAAGAACAGAATTAAAATAAAGAAAATGGAGAGCTCAATTAAGAAGTACAAGATACTTAAATTCACCAAGAAGAGAACACCAGAGAATCATGAGTGATTTACCAAATTGACAGGGTGCAGCAGTAGGGAAAGAGCCAATGGTGGGGAAGGTAGCTTCCACTAGATAAAACTCCTTCTATGGATGCCTGGGTGGCTCACTTGGTTAGTTGTCCAACTCCTGATCTTGGCTCAGGTCATGAGATCAAGCCCCCCATTAGGCCCCTGGGTGAGCAGCCTGCTTAAGATTCTCTCTCTCCCTCTGCCCCCAGACCAAAACTCCTTTTATTTTGGCTGGATTCAGTAATACCTCAGTGGGTAAGTTTAGAAAAGTTATAATTTCAGGATATATAATTACATAATGCATATACTTGTATCTTATCTGCAACTCTCTAGTTTAATAAGGAAAGAACAAATGGGAAAAAAATGTCGGGCATTCTAATCAAGGTTTGAACAAAATGCAATTTTAATGTGGAATGTCAGCACTAAAAAATTTTATGAATAATATGTATGATTATTATATCTCTAGAGATTTATAATTAACCACTTTTTTAAATATTTTATTTATTTATTTGACAAGAGACACAGTGAGAGAGGGAACACAAGCCGGGGGAGTGGGAGAGGGAGAAGCAGGCCTCCCGCGGAGCAGGGAGCCCGATGCTGGGCTCGATCCCAGGACCCTGGGACCTGAGCAGAAGGCAGACGCTTAACGACTGAGCCACCCAGGCACCCCTAACCACTTTTCTTAATATCCTTAATGCTTGCAAACTGCTCCCTAATGAACGTTGAACAGGCAGGAGGACTTCTCAGGAAGAGAAAAAACTCTACAGGGATTTTTAAAGATTCTGTAGGACCTTAGCCATTCATTAAAACTGCTATGGTCCTATCTCTGCTGGAGTCCCTCACTGCATAGGGAATCGTATTGGACCGCCATGGGTCTCCAAGGTCATGTCCCAGACAAGATCCTCTTGCAAGGTAAGGAACTGTAGTTTATCCCACAAGCAATCATAAATTTATGACTGTAATATTTTCATAAATTTTTGATACCCACAACACACTGTAAAGAATGTCAATGCCTTTACTGACCAAAGAGGAAGCATCCAGATTGGCATCATGATGGTAACCCATGGGGACGGAGCGGGGACCATCAGCCTGGTGGTTAAAACTGGAGCCTCTGAAATGGGACTGCCTCAACTTGAATGCTGGCTCTGCCTCTTACTATAACCGCATGACCTTGGGCAAATTACTCTATCCTTCTGCATACGGAAAATGAGGATAGTAACTACCTCTGTCGTGGAGTTGTTGTAAATATCAACATAGGATAATATAAGTAAAGTGCTTAGAACAGTGCCTGGCATGTTACCCTCCCTCAGCGAATGTCAGTAAAATCTTATAGCAGATAAAAGTGGGGTCTGACCAACGTGCAACAACATAGATCAGCTGACAAACAACTATTGGTGGGTAAACTTCACACCTTCCCTCTAAGTGAAAACAACTGTAAGATTCCCAGGCTTGGTACCATATTAGAAAAATCACTTTTGGAAGCCAAATATCATGGTCTTCTCCCTAACCAACATAATAACAGGCAAATGAAACTGCTCTGTAACAAGATAAGGAATAAAATCTTTCATGAGGTACATATTATCAGTATGCATTTCATGTCTCCATTGCATTTCAAATATAATTTCAGATTCTATTTTTTTTTTAATTTTTGTTCACAGATCACACTGGTTCATACAATTAATTACATTCTTCAAAATCGATCTTATGAGAAAAATATAGGAATGTTACCATTTACCCCTGCCTAGATGCTAATGTAATGTGACCCTTCTTAAAGTTAATGTGTGATTATGCATTTCTATTTCTTGAGCTGGATAACAATTAAAACCTTAAGTAAGCTTCAGAAAAAAAAACATATATCCATTAAATTATACTAAAACTTAAAATTCTGCTGGTTTTCTTTTTAACATTATGTTGTATCTATATTATTAACCAGAAATATCTTTGCCTGATTATGGAATACAGTTTGTTAAAACGACAGGAGTGTTATGGTTGTGCAAAACAAAATGGACAAGTTGACAACAAAAATTCACATTGCCAAAATATGACATCTGTGAAAATTAATTTCAAGAAACTCCTACCACTAATTTGGTTGAGATCTTACTAGACAGATTTCAGCCCACATCAATTTGACAGTGCACTTGCAAATGACATAAAGAAAGTCATAAAAACAATGGCATGAGTGGAACTCTACATGGCATCAATGAGCACCATTTATCATCACATTACTGTAACCCTCTCCGGTGAGAGATGAGGGACTGCTCCTCCAATACCTTCTTCTAGAAATTGGCTCTTTTCCCAACCTTTTTTAATTCTCTTTAGCTTTCGGCTTACACATGGAAGGAGTAAAATGATCTTACCCAGAATTACAATTGAGGGCAAAACAAGAGCAAGAACGAAGTTTGGTGGGGTGTAAAACCGGTAGTACTCTTCTTCAAAAGCTCGTTTCCATCCATAAATTAAAACATGGAAAGTACTTATGAGCAGAGCGACATATCCAAGTGTAGACTTGAGTAGAGGAGGAAGAAAAAGAAACAGAGAATAAGGAACAAATTATTCAAACTCATAAATTAACCTGTCCAGCTACACCATACTTATAGTGTGCTAAAACTATTTTATCTTAAATTACTGAGCTACTCTTTGTTCTCTACTGAATTAAACAATTTTAATATTTCCATAAATTACATATTTATTTGTTTGCACATCTTATTTTATACAAATAAAGCCACACTGCATATAGTTTAATACTCTGATTATTATATCAAGAACCTTTTCCTCATGTCATTAAATATGAAAACATGACTCAAATGCTATATAATATTCTATTGAATGGATGTGTTATAAATTACTTAATCATTCCTTTTTTGTTGATCATTTACTCTGTTTCCAACTTTCCTCCACTATAAGCTCTTTTCTATATTTTGGTTTATTTCCTTAGAACTTATTTCTAATAGGGGGATTACTGGTCAAAACATCTGGGTTTTCCTTAAGGGTACTGATGAAAACTGCAAAACTTCTTTACAAAGGTTATCCACATTTCCACCAGTTACGTGTATTAAAAAATATGTAAATATATATATGTATATATATTCACACATATATATATATACATACTTAATAAAATTAAGTGCTGAAAAGCATTCTCATGGGTATACACTCCCCGCACACCCTGCCCCACATATATATACTAGCTGAAGGTAAATATGAAAAATTTTATAGTATTAGTATGTAATATGAATAACATTTCAAACATGTGGTTTTACTGACCACATTAAATGAAATTATTAAGAGTACTTCCATTAAGCAGTTCATAGGTGAAAATCTAAAAGGTCAGCATTCTGGGCTCCCTAAATTACTACGTTTGATTGCTTACTTTGAGAAACGGTCTCGGTAACATTACATCAGTCTAATGATGTAAAGTCTAACTTCACTGGGAAAGGATCGACTCTCTAGCAGAAAGCTGTTGTTTTGCAGTTACTCATCTCAGTTTAATGATCACTTGCACCCATCTAACACCTTTTACCAGAGGGCCTTCTATCTCTTTTCAGGTGTGATTAAACTGACAGTCGGAAAAGTATTTATGTTTTCTTTCCTTCAAAAAGGAAAAATGAATTCGAGAGGGAGATGCCCTGAACTTGAATGAGCTCTTTAGATGACTTGGAAAAAAAAAAAGCTCAAGCAAATAGACAAACAAAACAAAACAGAATTGAGTGTACCACCAAATGAGAGTCACCCACATATTGTGCTATAAACTATTTGGATACAACCAATACTGACTTTGTGATAATATAGGTGGGGTCTAAGTTTGAGTTACATATTTTATAAATATGTACATTTATTAAGTAACTCCTACTGGAGAAGGTGAATGTTTACTAAAGAACACAGTGCTGTTTTGAAACCCTTTTGTATATACTCATAGACACATATATACAACTAATACACGAAATACATATACGAACAAGATTCATAAGGGTGGTTGCTTGTCGCAATCCATCAGCCCAGTCACCTAATTTGCCACTATTTGTGTCTGTTTGTTTACATACACATTTCTTTTACAATGACCAGAATGACCTCCCCACTTGAATTCAAATTAATGAGATTTTTCTAGACAGATCAGAGTGACTCAAAATATAAAGAAATTCTTCACCCATTGGTTGAGTAACAAATTGACTTTTGGCACTGAACTTGATCTAAGCTTACCCATCCCCCACCTTCATTTTTTTTCTTTTTAAAACAAACTTTATCCATAATACAGTAGGCAGTGCTATCAAAGTCTTCTAGTAGAATCCTGTACTGGTCTTTTGCTTACTAAACCAGAATGGTCCTAGGCCAGCTTCCAGCAATTGTCGTTCCTTGAGCTAGATACATAAATGCAGCCCCAAAGGCACTCTTTTAAAAAAAAAAAGCATGTTTAAAATTAAACTGTACCTAACACTTAAATGCTATGCCGCCCAACCTCTCACCAAAAAAACCCACGTACCTGAATAAAACTGAATTCCCTCCAGTTTAAAGCATTGCTCACTGACGGGATAGAGGTGACTGCCAGGAGGGACAGTAAGCCAAGGCTCATTATGCCAAAGGAGATATACATTTCAATTCTCCAAACTTCTTCCTCGTTCCAAGAGTTTTCAATATTTGCATGAACCTAATGAGAGTAAATGTGAATTTCCTCTATTTGGCAGAATATTCACAGATTCAGCACAGTTCACTCTTGGCATAAGAATACATCATATATAGAGATATTTAAGCTGTAGTTTTTCAATTTAACAGACTGGGATGGAGAACCTATTACCGGATGGTATTGTGCCAGGTGTGGGGAAAAGAGAAGGGAGAGTTAAATAAAAGGAGGACTACGTCTCTCTTTCCTTGCATACATGTGAGGCAGTGGGTAAATCTGCCACCTACACTGTCATACATCACAGTTACAGGGAGTCTGGAGTCCCAAGACCAGGAATGCCAAGTGGTTGGTTCCAAGGTGACATAAAAAAAGTACTGGCAGTTAGACTTAGTTTTGAGGTACTTTTCTAAGTTGGTTTAAACTCGGTTGACTATTTTGGGTACATCCTGGCTTTAGATCAACTTAGAATCCAGGAAGAGAATTTCTAAATTATGTATCTCTCTTTCTCACTTGAAGAATATTTGTATGTAATTTATTTCTTTTTTCTTACTTTCTTTTTCTCAGGAAGCTGAGATTTCCCTATGGATAAAGTCAGACTGAACGCAAATATTTATTCTCTTGAATTGCCTCACTGATAAACTTTTCCAACTGTCCTATTGCCTCATTCCTCTATAGTACTTTTCCAAATGTCTTTTCCTTACATTGATAATACATACATAATCAAGTCAGACTTGATTAACTCTGAATGTGTGGTATTCTCTATAGGGACTACTTTCAGAATTGTCTGTTTACATGTAAACAATATAATTAGAGTATAAATCAAAGGTTGGACTCCCTGGGCTAAAGCTTTGATTTAAATAAGTATCTATTCATGGCTAACAGATTCTAACTTAACACAGTTTAACTCTGTCCAGTTCCAGTTAACCAAACAAACTTGGAATTTAAAAAAAAAGAAAAGCTAGCTCTGAGCCTTAGGCCCCCGGAACAATCATACCAACATCCCAAAAAAAGCCACAGAGCTCCTCTGTGGAAGAAGGCTCTTACTATCTTGTTTGATGTCTATACAACAATACAGAACAGCAACATACCTCGGTAGACCCAGAGCTTACAACCTGCACCTACCCGGCCTCCCAGTTCATTCATTCATCCCACAGATACACTTTGTGAGTGTCTTACTAGGTGCCAGGCACAGTTCTAGGCATTAGGCATCTATCAGTGAACAAAGCGGACAAAGGTCCCTCCTCTCATGAACTTACATTCTGATGAACTTACTTGCTGATAAGCCATGTTGAGAAACAAGTATCTCTCTGACCTTCTCACTGGTAAGCAGTTTATTGTACATACAATAAACAAGGAAAACATAAAGTGTATCAATCAGGAGGTGGTAAATGCTATTGAAAAAAGTGAAAGAAGAGCAGAGTAGGAGGGCCTCAGGGAGGGGGAGGGTAAGGGTTGAGGTGGAAGCAGCTTGAAGAATTTAAAATGGTGTCCAGGCTCGGCCTCCGTGAGGAGCTGAGATCTGCGCAAACAACTTCACGCCCAGTGAGGGAGCTGGTGGAGCAGTTATCAAAGCCTTAGTATTCGGTTAAGAGAAGAAGGGTTTTACAGAGACAATGGCTTAAAGAACATCAATTTACTAATTTTCTTCACATTATTTTAGGTTGAAACTGTTGAAACAGGTCAAAGTACCAAGCACTACATACTTGGATCATGATGCCTTGGTTCCTTATGAAATGCAAAAGCTCCCATTTGTTTTGGTGCAGTGTCCTCGCTGTCACTGGTAAATGCTACATCAAACAGCATCAGTGAAACCCCTCACGTTACATTTGCTGAATGGGAATTTTATTTTTTTTTTTGAATGGGAATTATTGAGGAAACTCATACTCGGCTCCATCATCAAGCTCCTTGCATGGAGCTTTGTGAGATTTTCTTTCAGAGCTGAGTGCTATAAAGGTTCACGTGAGGGAACTAAAGCTTCACCTGAGTAATTTCCTCCTCTTTTTGATAACAAAAGCCTTGTAAATGTATGCCTCCTGATCTTGGCTTCCTATTCTGTTTTGTATTTTCAGTGGTTCTAATTTTATCGCATATGTTTACTGAGAACGTTATCATTTCACAGATCATGGCCAAATTAAACACTGAAATAACTGTTTAATGCTAAAAGCAATCATTGCAGTCATAACATAAAGAATGAAAAAACCTACTAGCCCTTTATTTCTGTTCTTATTCTTCAAAGAAAGGTATAGTAGCAGCTTTTAGCCTAAATGATTTTGAATCGGCCACATAATTCTTATACAGAAACATCGTATAAAGAACAATTCTTTCCCCTCCCTAAATATGCCAAAATTTCTATCACAAGGTCTGTAAAATTTGACACTATTTTAAATCTCACATTTTACAGATTATACTGATAAGGTATTTTACTAGTATCTGATGAATAACAAGCATGTTCCATACCTGCTGATAAGCCATGTTGAGAAACAAGTATCTCTCTGACCTTCTCATTGGTAAGCAGAGGCTGTAGGCAACATGGACCGAAGCGAAGAAAAAACTTAGTAATCCAAGCTGCTTTCTGCACTGTAACCAGGTCTCCAACCAAGGCGGAAATTTCCTATACTTGGTGCCATAATAAAGCTGATAAGCAGCTCCCAGGAGACCTGCTAGGTATACCAGGGACAGCAAAGTAATGGCAACTATGGGCAAGGTTTTATTCACAATCTCAATAGGAATCTTGTAAAAATCACTCTGCTGGTTTCTAGCATATGGATGTATCACATCTCTGACGAAGGAATAAAGAAAGAAAAATGTGGCTAGGCTTATGGCGACCACCACTGGCCCTCTCCAGAGAGTAAAGAGTCGCAGGGGTAAATTTTCAATCTCCCTGGCTGATGATAATGATCCCAAGTCAACAGGAATGAAACTCAGCTGACGGGCAAGTTCAATAACCTGTTGTCGAGCTTGAATATTGTTGCTGCATATATAGACCTGTGGCAAAAACAAAAGACTCATCATTACTATTGTTTATAAAAATGGTGACGTTCACAAGCTCCACTTCACGTATGGAGCATGTGATGACCTCGAGTGATGCAAAAAAGTTGAGATAAAGCATTTATTAACATATTAATCTATTTATTAATAGGTTAAAACAGTGTCATAGAAACAACAAAGTCCTTGCTACCTGTGATAACATGAAAATAAAATGCAGGAAAAACCTGCTGGAACCTGGGATCGGGGCGTCCACAGGGGAAGGAAGGAGGAGGAAAGAAAGGTTTCTAGAATGTGTGGTTCAGTAGCGGCAAGGTAAGGTCTAGGTGTTCAGGGTAGGGCGGGCTCCCCAGGCTTCCGAGGACAGTATCTAGTTCTAAGACTGCAGTGATTCTGTCTAGCAGAGGGATTACAAGCACTGTCCTTTACAGACATTCAGCAAGAGAGAAGATGGGCATGGACTTTGGATGGTTGAATTTGCAATTAAAAATCTCTAACTTATGTCACAATGCTGTACTATTTGTAAAACTTATTTTTGGCTTAGAAGCTGATTCACCAAGTTATCTGAAAAGCCACGAATAATCTCAAGTTATTATTATATTGCTTCATTGATCAGAATATGAAATTCTTTCATCTGTAAATAAGGATACTATACCTGTGTGGGGAAAAAATGGTTATTATAAGGCTTAATTTAAATGGTAAAGCAACTGCCATTATCTAAGATAAGGTGTTACTTCTATATAATGAAGTGACAGGTGGGGGTGAGGTTGGACTTTCAAACTACCTAAACCTCTTAGAAATATAACTGTAGTTGAGAATTCAACAAATACTTGTTCAGCACATGAGCCACTATTACTTATGGGTAGGTCATCTCACTCAGGGCTAGCAAAATATTGCCATAAAGTCTCTGGGTAATGTTTGGGGAAAACAAATTCCTAAATATATCCCTGAAGATGTTTATATAAGGTCTCTGGAACAGACCACACTGAAATATTTGCATGCTAAAATCTGCCTTATGCTGACAATGTAGAGCTCTTTGGATTATTAATCTTACCTAACGTTAGCCAGATGAATAACAGAGTCTATATTATTACACAAATTTTCATGAATTTCTAAAGTGGAGTGGGGAAGAATACCTATATTCCAAAGAAATAAAGAAAAGCATTCTAAATTAATTTATTACAGCTGTGACAATGCTGACCTTTTTTTTATTTCTTGTAAAAAAAAAAAACAAACCCTGTAATAAAATTTAACTATAAATATAACTTACAAACTATAACATTTAAATTTAAATAAATTTAAAATTCATTTAATTACAAGCCTAAATGTATAAATCAAACATTCATAACAAAGGCAGGACTATGGAATACAAATGAAACTATTTCTGTAGCTCACTTTGAATTCAATTCCATATTTTCTGTAGTTTGTATTTTTTGTAGTTGTTAAAGAATTAAAATTACCACAATTATGGGCAAAGGATTAAATTTAGGTTTATCCCTAGTTTGTTTGGTATGTATCCATTCCTAAACTTTGATGGATATCCAAAAGAAAAAAGGATTTAGAAAGTGTATAATCTTTTACTAGTCTTCCAAATTAAAGACTTGAAAGTGAATGGTTATCATGGTGATACAATACTTGAATTCATTTTCTAAGGCATTGAATCTAAGGCATGAACTGTCTTTATGAACAAAAATAATGAAAGCACTTTATCATCATGCTTATCTATAATGCATAACTACACCTTTAAAAAAATATTTAAGGTACACTATTTTATGTGTTTACTTTTAAAAGCTCTCGTTCCATAAAGGCATTGATGGAGCTCCCCATCTGCTTTATTCTCAAGTTGAACTAGATAGAACCCATACCCTAAAAAAGAACCTAAGAAATCCAATCTACCTCCCCAGATTAAAATCTACACTTTAAATAAAACGAACTGCACTATTTTAAATTCTACAAATAATCTTCATAAAATAAAAAGGTACTTCTAAAGCATTCTTCTTGAGGATCATACTAAATAGTGTTTCATACACAGATGGAATACTGTTACCAAATAGCTGCCAGGAAGGGGGGGGGGCGAGAGGGAGGGAAGAGGTGAGTTGGGGAGATAGAGAGAGGTGGAAAAAAGACTTGTTTCTTATTGTTTCTATTTTTGAGGAAGCCAAGAGAGACCCAACGCGGTGCAATGTGTCCCATTATTCGTCAGCCAACTTTGCCCTTTCCTGAATTAGCTGGTTATGACAGGAAAGTCCAAGTAATTTTCTCAACTATCCACATTATTTTATAGGGATAGAAATGTACCCTTACAAGGTCAGGACATGAATTTTCAGGGGCTCATACACGGTTTTCAAAATGATAATCACTGGAGAGTGTCAGAATGTGGTTTTTAAATGTATGACATTTGTTTCACTATGTAAATACAAAATACCAGATAAATACCAATAAAATTGGGGATTAAGAAGTACAAACTTCCAGTTATAAAATAAGTAAGCCACGCAGATGAAAAGTACGGCAGAGGGAACATAGTCAATAGTATTGTAATAATGTTGTGCGCTGACAGATGGTGACTGCACTTCTCGTGGTGAGCACCGAGTAACGTACGGAATTGTCGAACCATGATCTTACATACCTGAAACTAATATAACACTGTATGTCAACTCTACTTCAATAATTAAATAAGAAGAAATTAAAATTTTAAAAATTAAAAAAAACTACATACCTGCCGGCTGGCATCCTTAGGTCCTAACTGAAGTGCCCAAGCCGAGACAACATTAAAGCCTTTGACAATCAGGGAATCCGGGAATAATGAAGCCAAATATTCAGCATTGGATTCTGGGTATTGGTTTATCCTCATGTTATTGCTCACATCAATCAGGATTTTACCCACAAGCAGATGTCTCAGGTCCCAAAGGGAGGTGTAATGTTCTCTATGTATAGCAACAAATATTATATTTGTTTTTGTGAGAGCATCTTCATGATGAGTGACATCAACCACATGAGGGAAAAATTCGGAAGCAAACTTGGGATTTCTACTTCCTATAACCACATGATAGCCACACCTTATAAGTCGAATCGTCAGCGATTTGGCAAAATCCCCACTTCCAATTACACCCACAGTGACCTTCCTTGCATCTTTGATACCATTTATGCCATTTGGCAAAAAAGTTTCGCTAAGGTTCTTAGGGCTTCCCATCATAGAGATCGATTCCATGATACGGGCTCTTTCAAGATCACCAGAGAAATCCTAGGGGAGAGAAAATAAAATCATCAATTACCTATTACCAAGCATTCATCCACTTCCAGACATTATAATAACACCCCTCATTTCTAGAGGTAAAATATTTTGGCAAGCTATAAAAACCTTGAACCCAGCCAGACACAACTTGTAAGCTAAAAAAGGATGTCAGAGTAGAAAAATGAACTGTCACAAAGTTGATATGCTAAAGTGGGGCTTCTAAAAATTTAATGTACACATGAATCACCCGAGAATCTTGTTAAAATGCAGGTTCTGATTCAGTAGGTCGGGAGTGAGGCCCAAGAGTCTCCCTTTCTAACAAGGTGGTGCCAATGCTGCTGGTCTCCTGACCTCTCTTCGAAAAGCAGAGCACAAAAGGCAAGAGACTGAAGTTTTCGCCTAGGATTTTTTAAAAAACACAGTTCTACCAAGTGATTACCCAGATCAGAGGCAGCCAGTCAGAAATGCCACTAGAGGTGCCAGGGACTGTGCTAGCCTGTGAGGGTATACACGACAACAGCAGACAGAAAAGCCACAAAAAACACCTATTTAAACCTGGCTATTATCATTCGGGGTGGAGTCTATAAATTATCCTAAGTACCTCAATAGCTAACAAGTGACCTTATTATTAAATGAGAGTAAGATAAATCAGTTAATAAAAAATGAACCCCTCCCTGGCATTTAAATAATATTTTAAGAAAAACAGACTTCAAAATATAACAAAGGATTAATTAAATACCACTGACTTCTATCATTCGTGATAGAAGGGATATTTCTCAAGCAATGATATTCTATCATTTCTTGAGCAAGTTTTCCAGTGAAAATGGGATTCGCAATGTTTTTTTTATGGTCTGAAATTACACAATACTTATGAAATCTTTTTCTTCCCCTTTTATTTGTTAGCTTCATAAAATACGATGCAGTTATTTTTCCTGAAGAAATTTGTCAAATTCTTTTACTTAAGTGACTAACATCTGAAATGTTGATATTTGTAATAACTTGCTCAAGAAGACACATCAGATGGCCATGAATCAGTGTCGCTGTTGGATCTGTACAAAAAATACTCTTCCGTTCCATCCCCATTGTACAATTTCTTTTATGCTTACAGCAGATGTCGGTCACCACAGAGGATTTAATGGATTTTACAGGAACAGATAGAATGCTTCAAAAAACATGTTTTGGGGGTTTTTTACGAAACTTAAAATTTGGACTAGACACAGAAAAACTCAACTTTTTACCCTACAAATGGATCACAATGATCACAATGACTCCAAAAAACCTGTAAGTTCATCCTAAAAAAACAATATTACCTAACACTCATAAAGCACATTCTGTGTACCAGCTGTTTGTGCTCTTTGTGTTAACAGACTGAACCCCATGACCACTCTATAAGTGCTAATATTGTCACGCCCATTTAGAAGATGAGGAAACTGAGGCAAGCAGAAGGTAATTAATTAATTTGTCCAGGGCGATGAGTGTGAAAGTCGGGGAGCCAGGATTAGAACCCAGGCAGTCCAGCTAGGGCACGTGTCACTTTGGTGCAGGTACAGAATTTAAGAAAGGGCTTTTTCTTTAGGGGGGTGGCGGCGCAAGCTGGAACAGTGATGGTTGTGCTCAGGTTAGTATATTCCTCCTTCTCTGGCCGTGGTTCACTCCTCAGCATTAGCTAGTGATCTTAATGTCTAACTCAGATCCTGGGAAAGGAGAAAATGCACTATTTTTGAATCTATTACATGTTTCATTTCACACTTTTCAAGATAGAAGGGGTGGTAATTATCTACTTCCCATGCACTCAGAAGGCCAAGCAGAGGTCAGAGCTCGTGGAGTAATACAAAACATCAACATCCTCTTGGAGATATCATGGGCTATCTTAGGAATCAAGAGGAGTTAAAGGAACCAAAGTCATTAAATCAGTGCTCATTTCATTCAACGATCCAAGGTGACCTGGCCAACTTACCCCTAATCATATATGTTGCCTAAGGGGGAAAAGAGTTACTAGACTCACACACAGGAACCCAAGTGTCCTGCCTATATCCCAGTCCCAAGTTCTTCTGAGTAGAGATTGTGGCATCTCCCAAATTGCCCCATTGGCTTTCACACACACAAGCAAGAGCGTGAGGCTTGCTGACTCTGCCTGGTGCTCTGGGAATCACAGAGGACCCCATCACTTGAGTAAGTGGAGAGGCAGAACTGTAATCTCAGAGCTACTAAAGCAGTGGTTCTCAGCTCTAGCTGCACACTGAAATGACCCAAGGAGCTTTAAAACACAGTGATACCTAGTCACCTCCACCCAGATTTGTGTTTAATTGCTCTGGAGTCCAGCTTAGGCATCAGGATTTTTTTTTTTTAAGATCATCGGGTGTTCCAATGCGGCCACGTTTGAAAACCACTCTATTAAACGATTCAGGATTCAAGCCAATATTTAGTTTGGTATTTGGAAATAACAAATGTGGCTTTTTGATCCTCAATTATGCTCATTTTTGCATTGTTTGTAATAATGAAAAATAACACTAGCCAGAGAGTAACAGTTGCCCCGAATGCAGGAAGCTGAGGAACATGTGTGCTGCCCCTCACCCTCTCCTCCTCTGGCAGGAGCAGTGTCAGAAGGACCACTCAGTATTTTGCAATATCCCTTTCTCCGCTTTCTGGAAAGGTCAGTACCACTCCTTAAAATGTGTCATCCCACTGCACAGCATACTTTGTTCCTGTTGTTTCATAACATTCAGAATGGTCATAACATTCCAGAATGGTCCAGCGATGGTATGTTTTCTTTCTGTCTGACAAGGGACTCCAGCTCTCCAGGCATCAGAGGCCCTGCTGATTGGAGTGGATGGTTTTCCAAGTGGACTCAACTTGCTCTAGAATGCTGCCTACCAAACTTCCATGTGAATATGAGATCTTGTTAAAATGCACATTCTGATTCTCTACGTCTGGTATGAGGCCCAAGATGCTGTTTCTCCCAAGCTCCCAGGTGATGCCCCTGGTCCTAGTGGTTAGGGGCCACACTTTGACTAGCAAGGCCCTAGAGTCTCTCTACCTTTTCATTTAATGCTATTCCCAGGTAATACAGACGAAAGAATTAAGACTATGGCATTGAGGGAAAGTTTTGTTTTTGAGGTATTGAAGAGGAAGGACAGGCTGAGGCTCCTGAAATCTTGTTTTCTGAGTCTGTTTCCTTTGTTACATGGGAAACAAAGAGGTTGTACGTGACTCCTGCAGTCCAATACTAAAACCCTTTTGTTTCCAAGTCTTAAAGCTATATAATAATAGTAATATCACTTTATATTTAACACTTTGACACTTCAACTTTATGAGCTTGATTTAAAAGTGTATTTAAGTAGCACATGGGTTCCTTGAAATTTCAAGGTCACAGTTTTCTTGAATGGCCATTTGACCTGCTGTTTGCATTTAATACTTCAAGTATATCGTCAGGGTCAAAGAACTGGATTATACTCAGCTACGTGGCCTCCTAAAATTTTGTTTAGAAGGGTTTCCTTGACATTCCTCTGGCTGAATGGCAGCTGTTATGCTATATAAATAGAAACTAATTTGTTTCACATATAAACATCTAGGGCATTAATTTGTCCTCAGAGATCCAGATGACATCTACAACCTGATGATTTAGATAGGTTATCAACAAACTGTAATCCCCCAGGGCCACGAGATGGGGTAGGTGTATTTTTGACTTTGCAAGGCCACATCTGAACCTTTCTTCTCCTCTGCTACAGACACTCAGCTCCTTTGAGGCTCGCGGCACCTCGTAAAACCTCCCTCTAAGCACTGTTGTCATCTACAGACTTCTCGCTTACTCTATCACTAGTGACTTTGACAAACACAGTCTTACACACATAGTCTTCCTCTCTGGGCCAACCAACAGCTGTCATCCTTCTCCAGGATGTCTTCATTCAAATGGGTAAGGCGTTCAACCTCATGGCCTCTTGTTTCCATCAGTCATTCATCAAAAACAACGAATCTCTGCTCCACCCCACTGAGTCATTCACTTTCTGACATCTCCAAACACTATCTCGGAGCCTTCCAATAATCTTAGTCAAAGAGTTGCAGTGATAATTCAAGTCAGCAGAAGAAAGCTGATGCACTGATCACTCTTTTCTCACTCTCCATCAGCCTCCTCCGGGTTTCTCTTTACCCACCCTAGATTCCACAGCATATAGTTATGGTCACTTGCTTAAAAAGATCAACTCTTGTTAAGGACTGAATGCTTGTGTTCCCACCCCCACCCCCCGCCGCCTGCCACCTCGAATTCTTATGCTGAAATCCTAACTCCCAATGCAAAGTATTAGAAAGTGTGGACTTTGGAAGGCGATTAGGTCATGAGGGTAGAACTCTCTTGAATGGAATTAGTGCCCTTATAAAATAGACCTTAGAGAGCTCTTTCTCTCTTTCTGCCAAGTTGAGGACAGCAAGACTATGAACCAGGATGTGGGTCCCCACCAGACACTGAATCAGCCCTGTAAGTAAGAATGCAATAAATATTCTTTGTTGTTGAATGTATCAAAAAAATGTGAGGACCAAAAGAGATGTAATAGGTCTATAGGTAAGATCCCTCTCTTTGCTGATCAAGACATGGCAGCCCAACGTAAGTGATATGTCAATGTCATGGTTACTGGCTGAGCACAGAATAAACGCCTCTCCTGACGTCCTGATTGTGTCCTTTTTGGAAACTGCAGTCCTACTCTTTCCAACTTCTGAGGTACCCTCTTTCTCACCTTTCTTACTCATTTATGATCCTTTCTTTAAAAGTGTATTTGCCTTCATCTGTGCTCCATTTTCAGTATTAAAATGTAACTACGCTCATTCACTACAAGTATACTTCCCATGTCACCAGTAAAACAAAAAGTGGCTGTTATACAGCTTTTCATTTCCTTTTTGTACAATTAGCTCAATTTATCATTGTTTATATTGTCTCAACCCCCTCCCCAAAGACTGACTAGCTAAGTGAAAGAAACTGCAAACCATTTCTAAATAGCCTGCAAAATATCTAGGATGGGTATTGTTCTTCTGTAAATAGCTTTTAAGCTTGGAAACGAGAGAGGGAGAGATGCAAGGTAAAAAAATACAGACTCACTAAAAGAAAAAAAATAAACAGAGGAGATCAACACAACCAAGAAATAATAAAAGTGGAAAGACTGTGTGGGGGGTGGGGCCGGGCAGGGAGGCCTGGAGGAGGTGTTTTGGAGAGAATTTTCAGGGTGCCCAGGAGTGGGGCTGTTACTAGGACTCAATCTCAATCCTGTAGGTGGGGGAAGGAGCAGGAGTTCAAATTCTACTTCTCCCAATTTCGCCCACCACAGTGATGAGTGATAATTAACCATGGCCCGGAATAAATTTTTCCATCTAAAGAACGAACTGCCTGAGGAGTAAAAACTGACACCAATCCTTCTCGAAGGGGTGGGGAAGATAATAAACGGAAATCTCTGGACAAAATTTTATCTCTGCTCTATTTTAAGAGCAAGATTTTTAGGGCATAATTTTCAACAAGTTTTGGCTGTGGTTGAACACGGGGCTCAAAGATAATTTAGGACACTTCAAAGAAGAGGCCAATTACCTCCTAACACATAATGGCCTTAACACACCAGGGTCGCATAATTGGCTAATAAACAAAATGACTACTACAAATACTTTTTCGCAAAGCAGCGCTGCATGATATTCTGTGAGATGCGCTGCCTGAACCCAAAGTGGTAGCTAGACTCTCAGGAAGGCGAAGGTAACCTGCCCGTCCGTTTCCTGTGGGGCACATCCTACCTGGGACGGTGTCTCTCCTGGCCTCCTTTCTCCTGGGCCCAGCCTCAGGACTTTCTGGGGAGCTCGCGGAAGACCAAGAGGAGTAGAAGGCGCAATCGATGGAACAGACACCCTTCCCCCGCCTTCCCACTCCCCAGGAGATGAGGACGGACGCCCGCAGAGGGCGCGGAATCCGGGGAGGGCCCAGGCAGCGTGTGGCGACGACTGCATCTTGACCCTCAACCCCGCCGCCGCCACCTGGTCTTGCGCTCCTCCCCGACCCGCTCACCTCTGCGCCCCCCACGCCGGGCTGGGGCGAGCCTGGTGGCTCTCCGAGCGCGGCGCCCACTCCCCCAGGGGCCCGCCCGGGCACCAGGGCCTAGGGACCGCGCCTCCGTCGGGCGGCTGCAGAGTGGCTGCCGCGGCTGTCGCGCTCCCGCTGCTTCTCCGCCTCCCCAACCTGGATCGCGTCTTGCCGGAGAGGAGGAGGAGTAGGAGGAGGAGGAGGAGGGAGGCGCGCGGAGGCAGGCCTCGCAGTGACGCGCCGCTAGGGGCTGCGCGCGGGGAGGGCGCAGAACGCCGAGCGGGCCCGGGAACGCCGACTGGAGGGCCGCGCGGGCGGAGGTGGGGAGCGGTGCTGCGCCCGGGAGCTCGGAGGGGTCGGGGCGGGGCGCGGAGAGAGCTGGGGGAGGGCCGTGAGCGCCGACCCGGGCAAGCAGTGCCGCGGGGATCTCGGCTGCTTCGCTCCAGCTTTGAGTATCCCCCGGCCTGGGAGCTGCGGAGGATCTGCTGCTTGCCTGCGCCCCGCACCCCGCCCTCAGTCTCCGCAAGGCTCCTCCGTGGTTCCTTTTGAAGCAGCTCTAGAAAAATCAAGCCCACTTCTCTACTCCACTGCTTTTGTGCTGCGTAGTCGCTTTTCCATTCTACCCTTGGCTTTTTATTACGCCGGGCCCCACCCCCTCCCCGTTCCCTCTTTCATACTCTCAGCTCCTGACAAGTCTCCAAGAAACTGCGCTTTTTTTCCTCTACGTGTTCTTTCCCTCACCTCTACCCACCCAAACCATCTTTTGTCTGGATTGTGTCTTTGTAATGAAATGTTTAGAAATGCCCTTTCATGAACCCATATTTTAAAACTCCCTCAGATACAAGGGTCCTCACAAGCCAGCGGACTGCAGATTAGTCTGTTGACTTTGACCTTCACTGTAGCGGGTGCCAAGCTAGCTCCGGAGTTGAGGAACAGAGGGTTAGACTGGGAGTCAGGAGAACGGTGTTCCTGGGAAAGCCACTTCACTCTCAGGGCCACAATGGCCTTGAATGCCCAGGGGATCTCTGAGCTGTAAGGGCTCTGGCTTTGGGATTCTGTAAATTTTCTCCCTGCAGATTACCAAGTAGTCATGACTCCTTTATCTTTTGCAAGAGAGCTTTAATCTCACAATGAAAATCAATTTAGGAAAATTCTCAAATTTGGGTAAAATTTTTTATACATTAGTAAATTCTCATTTCAGAAATTAAGTTTAAAAATTATCTCTCCCTGGTGGTTTATTAACCAGGAAAAAAAGCCGAGAAGGGGGTCTTGGATCGATCATTGGACAACTGCACTTTCCCCTCTGTAGTCCACTCAGATTAACCTTTGCAAATGCTGCTTTGGAAGTACATTCTTTGTTTGACTTGACATTTGCCCCTTCCCCCACCGCCAAATATTATTAAGGTTTCAAATTGAGGCATAAGCTAAGCTTGTAGTGATGTTGAGGTATTGACAGCTGGTGAAATTCTTTCCGTTTTGGTAACTGGAAAAAAAATAGTTAAATTTTATACCAATTTTTATTTTTTTTTACTTCAATACTACTCTCAAATAATGAAATTAGCTTTTTTTTTTTTAGCACTTCTGGAGGACAAGTAGAGGAAATTCATGAGTCTTAGTAGTTAATGAAAAGTATGCAGCTTTCTCATTTTTTTAAACAATACTATTATATAACTTTCACAAAGGTTTATTTAAAAATATAACACTTTCTAACTATCCTAAAACTTAAACATGTAAACCATTTATTTTATTTTAAATTATTATTATTTATTTTTAAAGATTTTATTTTTTTCAGTAATCTCTACCCACAACTTGGGGTTCCAACTCAGGACCCAGAGATAAAGAGTTGCATGCTTTACCGACTAAGCCAGCCAGGTGCCCCTAAACTGTATATTTTAGATTTTTTTTAAGATTTTATTTAATTAATTGACACAGAGAGACAGCGGGAGAGGGAACACAAGCAGGGGGAGTGGGAGAGGGAGAAGCAGGCTTCCCGCTGAGCAGGAAGCCTGATGTGGGGCTGGATCCAGAAGGCAGTCGCTTAACCAACTGAGCCACCCAGGCGCCCCTATTTTAGATATTTTTAAAAGCTATCTTAACAGTGGGCTATCCCCCTCCACCAAAACAAACACACAAACCAACAAACAAAAAAACAACAAAAAAGTTCTATACAAAATCACTTAAAAGAGAATCAGTCAATAATTTGCAATTTCCAGAAGGAATATCTGCTTTTCATATTTGAACTATTAAACAAATATCCTTGAAGGAAAAATCTCATGTTGCCAAATGCGTCCCCCAAAATTGTTGGCACGGATGCACACACGATTCCTTTCAGCTTATTCCACGGTAACGGAAATTTTTACTACTGTTTTTGAGTTGGAGTTTTTAGAGTATAAAAAATGATTTTTGCAAGATTTTTCCAGGTCATGATGTGCTCTCTGAGAAATCTCTACAGTTCCCTGAAGTACTAATTGATTCCACTGAAGTGCAGCAGTAATTTCATTAAATGGATCTCTAGTGGCCTAGAGGTGTTAACACATCTTTTTTTCTTTGAAGTTATTATACAGTTGAGTAACTTTAGAATGGTAGTTCCCAAAGTGTGTAACTTCAAGCACTAGTCCCTCAAGATGCTCTTCCGATAATTCATTCACTACAAAAATATTTATTGAGCTCCTACTATATCCCCTGGCTGGGGCACTAGAAACAATGGTGAAGAACACAGATACATTTATCCTGTTAGAATTTATAGTTTGGTGGGGAAGATAACTGAACACTAAACAAATCACTAAACAAATGCAAATAAGATTTATACAAATTTGTTTATGCAAGTAAAATAAGTATAAATCATGATGAAAATAACAGACTTAGAGATAAATAATAACTTTTTCATTTTAGAGATTAATGATGAATATTAATGGATTAGAGCCTCAGAATTTCTACCATAAAGACATTTACCTAATCTATTCCCCCAAATTCCCATATTTGTTTTGAGCACTGAAATTTTGTGAAGAATGCTTATTCATAAAATAGAACCATTTTTTGTGAAACTGCTTTTTTGAAACCAAGGGATCCAATTTGTCAATGCACATTCATATATTTTAATAGATTAATAAATATACATATAATCTGTTCAAAATAGGTTTTGTTTGAAGACAGATGACATAGAAACATTTATAAGTATATTCATATATTTTAATAGATTTATAAGAATATATTTTTATGGATATTGTCTGAAAAAAAAATGACAGAAATACTTATAAATCTATTAAAGTATATGAATGTGCATTTGTAAAAGATAGGTATTTTGTAGTTAACATTGTTTCATGAATATATTTCCATATACCAACGTGGTCTAGATACTTATAATTCTTAATTACTACATGGTCCATATACAATCATTTTCTATCCTAAGCTTTAGGAAAATAATTTTATGATGCTTTTACTAGTATAACTAACACTGCTTTAGTTTCTTGGAACAATTTACTTTTGGGGGTAATAAGTGGAGGGAATATTTCTTTATGAAACATTTAAAATGTGTATTTATTTTTGTTTATTTTTTGATGTAGTGTTCCATGATTCATTGTTTGCATATAACACCCAGTGCTCCACTCAATATGTGCCCTCTTTAATAACCATCACCAGGCTAACCCATCTAAAATGTGTATTTTTTAAAAAGATTTTATTTTTAAGTAATCTCTGCCGCCAATGTGGGGCTTGAACTTACAACCCCAAGATCAAGAGTCACATGCTCTACTGACTGAGCCAGCCAGGCACCCCTAAAAATGTGTATTTTTTAAAAAATGAAAAAAACTTCAGTGTAAGCAGATTTGATCTGGATCTCATGGATGACCACCTTATAACAGTATAACCATGTAATTTCTGAGCCCATGTTTTCTGCATTTATTATTGCATTGGTGTCTAGCAATATCACCCTGTCAAACCTTACTGAGAGAACTCTTACAGCTGAACAAAAGAAGGACAAAAAATCCTATTATAAAATGGATGAAGGATTTCAATACATATTTCTCCAAAGAAGATAAGCAAATGGCCAATAAGATCATGGAAAGATGCTCAACATCATTAGCCCTTAGAGAAAGGCAAATCAAAACCATATGAGATATCATTTCACATCCCCTAGGATGGGTATAATTAAAAAGTCAGCATCACAATATCAAGTGTTAGTGAGGAAGTGGAGAATTTAGAACCCTCTTACATTGCTGGTGGAAACATAAAATGATGCAATTACTTTGGAAAACAGTTTGACAGCTCAACTTCATGATGTTGAAAACATGTCTACAGAAACACTTGCACAAGGGACGCCTGGGTGGCTCAGTTGGTTAAGCGTCTGCCTTCAGCTCTGGTCATGATCCCAGGGTCTCGGGATCGAGGCCTGCAACGGGCTCTCTGCTCAATGTGAAGCCTGCTTCTCCCTCTCCCACTGCCTGCAGCTCCGCCTGCTTGTGCTTTCTCACTCTCTCTGTCTGTAAATAAATAAATAAATAAAGCCATTAAAAAAGAAAAGAAAAGAAACACTTGCATGCAAATGTTTATTGCAGCAATTTGTAATAGCTCAAAAGTAGAAACAACCCAATTACCAGTTCTGTAAATTAAGGAATGTATAATTGAAAGGTAGTCTATCCATGTAAGGAATATGATTCCCATGTTATTATAAAAAGGAATGAAGTACTGATGCAGACAACACGGATGAATCTTGAGAAAGTATGCTAAATGAAAGCTGCCAGACACAAAAGCCCATATATCTTATGATTCTATTACATAAGATGTCCAGAATAGGCAAACCCATATAGACTGAAAATAAATTAGGAGTTGCCAAACCACTGCCTGGTGGGGAGGAGAATGGGGAATCGCCGCTAGTTAGGGGGAGGGGTTCTTTTGATGTGATGAAAATATGCTGGAATTAGGTAGTAGCGATGGTTGTACAACTTTGTGAATATACTAAAAACCACTGCATTGCACACTTTAAAAGAGTGGACTTTACGGTATGTGAATTATATCTCAATAGTAAAGAGAAAAGAGTAATCAGGGACTGTCTCAAAAAAAACAAAACGAAAACCCAAACCTTAATGAGTGAGCAGATGTAGACAATTTCTAACAAGCATCCCCTTCAAGTGAAGACCAAATGATGTTAATCTGTGCTCTGCCATGGTG